ACTCTCCTCCCACTTCTGCCTTAGCTGCTCTCTTTTTTGACCCCAGCTTGTCTTCTCATTTCTGGCGGGGTCACCGGTTAGGGCCCATTAAGGTAAAATAATTTCCTCAGCTCTCAATTATAATTTGCCTGAGAACTGAGTGATGGTTCTGCTGTGTCTGCTGAGGTTTTGCATGATCAGAGATGGACCCTGTTCATCCTTTCCTGTCTCATAGAGCTTGGAGCATATTAATATGCTTATTAATGCTTATTAAATTTCATTTAACAAGCATTCCCATTGACCATTGAAAGCAGGGCCATACATTACTGTTGTCATGTAGCCTTCCATCCCTGACGTCATCATATTTGTTAGAGCCATTATTTTGTTAAATTATGACAGGAGTTTTTAGAATTAAATTTAAATTTATTTATTTTAGAGAGAAGGAGAAGGAGAAAAACATTGATTTGTTGTTCTGTGTATTGATACATTCATTGCTTGGTTCTTGTATGAGCCCTGACCAGAGATAAGCCACAACCTTGGCTTATCAGGATGATACTCTGACCAATTGAGCTACCCGGCCAGGGTGTAAGATATAATTTTTAAAAACATATATGAAAGTCAGTCTTTTTTAATGTTCTTCTCCAACCCCAATCCAGCACATTCATTTCTTTGTCTACACTAAGCATGTCAAACTCCCAGGCCGCAGACCTTGTTTATTTGGCCCGTGTTAGCCTTTGAGTTTGACATGCTTGGTCTACACATTTGCTGTGAGGTTCTTGCCCTCATTTACAATATAGAAATTATGCCCATCTGTAAGCTCACTTTGAGCCTTTTTACTAAGTGTGTAGCCCTTAGAAGGAAGGGTTCATGCAACCCTTTATTTCTCCCTACCGTTCCTTATCTCACCTTTCCCTTGTATTTCCCTCTCATCTCACCAATCAGCCACTCTTAGAGCTCATCTCATATGATGAATTTCCAGTCATTCTCTAGCCCTAGCTTATTAGCTGAATCCCAGACAGAGTGACATTTTTAAGTCCCATTAGTAGTCTGTCTGGAGCCACAAACTCAGCCTGCCCAAAATGCAACTCTTGTTAGAGAGAAGTAGCCAGATCGGCCAGATCCCAAGATTTCTATCAGAAGATAAGGATGTGGTCACAATATAACCAAACCAAGGACTCTATTTTAGGTGAAATCCAAGAAAAACCTTCGTTCTTCCTGACTCCCTACTTCTGTTACTGAAACCATTGTACTTCCAGGCCCTTAGGCTCCAGCCTTTGGGACCTCTTCCCTCCCCATTCAGCCACTGTCCTAGTCATTGTCCTCAAACTTTATTTGCACTCTTGTCCTGAAACATGGTGTAGAGGTCTAAACCAGTCTCCCAGCTCCAGTTTCTTCCACTCAGGAGAACGTTCGCACTTGCAGTACCTAGAAACTAGACTTCCTGATGTAAGCACACCCTACCTCACCCCCACCTTGCTCAGGCTGCCTCAGGATCCCCCCTCCTTATATACTAGATTACTCAGCATCATCTAACTGCCTTGCCCTACATCTGCTCACACTTCATCCACTCGGCGGAACCAGTTATCTTTGCATATTTCTACCTCAGTCTCCAGAAGGAATGGAACTTAAGACATATAGTCCCCCATTAGATTAGATATTATAACTGGAAAGATCAAAGTCTTGATCACTTTATAAGTTACTTTTACCTGATGACCGTACCAAGAGAACAGTGGAGCAGGGCGATGTACTACTACTCACTGTATTCTAATTCTTCCATCAGTTACATAATACATGATGGGGCTCAGAGAACTTCTAGAGGTGCTTGCAAACCTCTGGTTTTAATTCCACTCTCACTACTGGTATTACTATTATTATTGTTATTTGTTAATCCTCACCCAAGGATATTTTCCCATTGATTTTTAGAGAAGGTGGAAGGGAGGGGGAGAGACAGAGAGAGAAATATCAATGTGAGAGAGATATATCGATTGGTAGCCTCCCACATGCACCCCAACCGGGTCTGGGGATTGACCTGCAATGGAAGTCTTGACCAGAATTGAACCTGCGACCCTTCAGTCTAGGGGCCGACACTCTATCCACTGAGCCAAACCTGGCTAGAGCTATTGATTTGAGAGAGGGAAAGAGAAACATCAATGTTGAGAGAAAAACATGGATCATTTGCCTTCCTACAACCTGGGCATGTGCCCTGATGGAATCGAATGACACTCCAGCCTACTAAGCCACACTGGCCAGGGTTTCACTGCTGTTTTTTGCCCCCTAGTAGATGGCAAGCTGAGGGCAGGAACTGTCATGTTCACTTCTGCATCAAGTGCAGTAGCAGACAGTGGCCATCTAGAAATTGTCTCCCATTGGGAATTATGCATGGGCTTTTTTATATATTCCCTTGCTTGCTCAATTAGGCATGAAGCAGCAGCTTAACGTGTGTTTATCCCACGTCCACCCCTCATCCCAGCAGGAGCTACCTGGAGGCTCCAGTAAAGTACTGGTCCTACTTAGGACCAGTCTATCTTACTTTAAGGGTGCTTGGAGAACTTACATCTGCTCTTTAATTTATTTTTTGCTTTGGCTGGGCAACTAAAAAGAGTTTTTCCTTCTTTAAGTCTCTAAGTCAGCCAAATGGGTAGCTCCTTTGAGGGCTGAGGTGTTTTCATGTATTAGTTCACTGTCCCTGATAATAGAGGTAGTTAACTGTATAACCGTGAGTACCTTGATAGAGCTGGACCATGGTGGTAGGAGTCCTGAGTCTTCTATTTTTGATGCTTGTCCTCCCTCACTCCAGGTTCTGCCTGATCAATGCAGGAGTCCTGTACCTCTACTTCAGCAACTACCTACAGATAGATGAAGAAGAATATGGTGGCACATGGGAGCTCACGAAAGAAGGGTTTATGACATCTTTTGCTTTGTTCATGGTATGTGTACCTGATAGTTTTACAGCAACTAGTGTCATTTCATGAATCACTCAAGGGGAGCCTACTGATTGAGTCACACTGTGATTGGGGTACCATTTTTTAAAAAACTCATGAGGCTGGAGGGCATGTCCACTCTTGAGTCATGTTGTTCCAAAAGTGTGATATACTGTACAGTCTTGTGCAAATCCAGAGCCCATCATCAGCTTTACATCTGATTATCAACTCTGCTGCATATTAGAAACAACTAGGAAGCTTTAAAAAATATATTCATAGCATTATTCATAATAGCTAACTTGTACAAAGTCATCACCTGATGGATAAATAAAATGTATATTCATACAGAATATTATTTGACCATAAAAAGGAATGAAGTACTGAGACATGCTACAACATGATGAACCTTGAAAACATGCTAAGTGAAAGAATCAAGACAAAAGATCTCATGTATGAATCCATTTATGTGAAAATTCAAACAGACAAAAAGTGATTACCAGTGGCTGTGGGAAGGGGGAAGGGGGGAAATAACTGATAATGGGAACTTATTTTCTTTTGAGGATGATGGAAATGTTCCAGAATCATTTATATGGTGATGTTTACACACCTCTGTGACTATACTAAAATCTTCTGAATTGTGTGTTTTTTTAAAATAGATTCAGTAAGAATAATTTAAAAATACCAGAAAAAAAACCCCTCTGAATTGTATACTTTATGGAATATAAATTATACCTCAAAGTTTTATTGTTGTTTTATTATTATTTATATGCTTTTATTGATTTCAGAGAGAGGAAGGGAGAGGGATAGAAACATCAATGATGAGAGAGAATCATGGATCGGCTGCCTCTTGCATGCCCCCCACTAGGGATCAAGCCCACAACCCGGGCATGTGCCTTAACTGGGAATCTAACCATGAACTCCTAGTTCATGGGTCAACACTCAGTCACAGCACACCGGCCAGGCATTGTTTTTGTTTTAATTTATAGACCCTAGCCCAAACCAATAAAATAAAAACCTCTGGGAGGTAGCACCTGGGCATCTACATACCAGTAATACTTTTAAAAGTCCTAGATGCAATGGGCAGTCAGTTTTGAGAATCTGCGCTTTATACGATAAGGCACTGACAGGGTATAATGGTGATTTTGTTTTCACATTTATGGCTAATCCTAACATCTATTGGCAGTACAGTCTGCTTTACCTGTTTCATTTCTACATCTATAACTCCACTCCCTGGTGCTTAGTTTGCTGTATGGCAGGGTGAGGGGCTTTTCCAGGGTCACTTTGGGAGCACAGGTGGGTGGCCCTGGGCTGTTAGAGACAGCTTGAGTTCAGTGAAATTATGCATTGGATAGCCCCTGGGAAGCCCGCTGTGCAGACATTCTTATCTGACATTTTTGTTTTGTGGAATAGGGGCCTATTTTGACCAGGTGACCTATGAATGTTGCTTGTCTCCTCTCTAGGTCATCTGGATTATCTTTTACACTGCCATCCACTATGACTGATGGTGTACTGTCCCCACCTGCTCCCTGTCGGGTCCAAAGGACTCTCTTAGTTACAGCATGAAACATGATTATAGGGGCACCTCAGCCACATGGAACCTGGAAGACCCATGTTTCCTGGACCGAGAATCAGTGTGTTGGGCGTCAGTGTTTTCTGCAAGGGTTGTGACCTGAAACTTTTTAAAGAACCATCCACCTTTGGGAAAGCATTTCTAATTGTCCATCACCAATCATTTCTTCTTGGATACCATCATTGGAAACACTTGTTTGCAGATTGAAGCTGTCGTTTAATTTGATGCATCTCTGGATCCGGATGAAACATTAAATTGTCTTCCTCACTTCTCCATCAGGTGTACAATTTTTAAACTGTCAGTGGCATTTCAAGTCTTCCAAAAACAGTATGGCAATATGTGCGTGGTCCATAGCACAATATAAGCAGCATCTGGTAACAGTTTCCATTGTAGAATGTTTTCAGATACTTGAATAAATCAGATCTTTAATTGACAACTGTTGATGATACCTGGGAAAGCCTTTCCCACCTCACCTCTAGCTTGAGAACCTAGTAGGAACACTAGAAGTGGTGCCCTCCCACATTCACCCCTCTTCCTCTCCCTGCTCCGTTAGCAGCCCAAGCCAGGCTTCTTCCCCTTTATGGGTTAAGGCTGAGGTCTTAGCTTTGTGGAGAGAGGGCTTACCACTTTCTGATACCCTAGTGTCCCTGCCCAGCACTGAGAGCCACACATAACATCTCATCACAGTGTGCTAGTCTCAGGTGTCATTTTGCATTGGGCCACTAGATGGCAAGGCCAGTAAGGCTTAGCCAGGTCCCAATAATAAGTTGCAAAATGAAATAGAAATCTGAGAGCTACAACTGTCCAGAGAAGGGGCTTGTGGGGACAGTTGAGGACCTGGACTGTCAGACGTCCTCTCTGCTCTAGGGTTAGGGGGAGGCTGGACAGCCCAGGTTCTGCTGCTCTGGTGAGCCATCTATTCCCTCTGCTTTCCTGCCCCTTATAAATTTTCTTCAAATGTTGTTTTTTCTTGATGCTAGTGGTTGTTTCTACCTTGTGGGTGGGGCTGGGGACTGGTTAGCAGGTGGGGGAGGGGTTTGAATGGGACTTAACTAACAGGGGAGGAAGATGTGCTGGAATTCCCAAACTTGTGCACTGACTACATCAGACCCCAGAGGAAGTTTAGGCTCTTTGGAGCCCTGGCCCTGCCCTCAACTGGTCTGTCCTTGAACTAGAGGTTGCAGGCAGGGCCATGGCACTGGGAGGAGGTATGTGACTTCTTAGGGCTGAGAGGAAGGAACAAGATAGAGGTGGGACCTTGAATGTGCCTCTCTATCCCTGTTCTCTCCTCACTCAGTTCAGTCTTGCCTGTGGAGTGCACAGTTAGGCTGAGCTGCCTTGGGATTCTAGGTGCTACAACCTTGGTTCCCCTTTTGTCCTCTGGGCTTTGGCATCGTCCAAGGAGATGTCATCAGTCAGGCTGATGTAGGAGCTGAGGGCCTCCCGGAGTCCCTCGCTGATGAGAGATGCCTCCCCTGTGGCAGGTGCTTCAGAGAACAGGAGGGAGCTATGGAGAATGGAAAAGAGCTGGGTCAAGGAGCCGTCTTCCCTGCATTCGCCACACAGTTCACCGTTTTTAATTCACTCCTAATAAAAAAAATTCACAGTGGCTCTCTGTTTCCTATCAGATCAAACCAGAGCTTGACTTCTTCCCTCAGGACTGGTACTCTTTGTTCTACCTTATCTTATCTGACCTTCCTCCCATTCTGGCTACCTTCATGTCCAGGCTGCCCATTGCATGCCCACTTTATCCTCCCTGCCACTGCCCCCTACCCACCTGATGAACCTAGGCTGTCCTCTAAGTGCTCAATCAATGCTCACTGGTCCCCCAGTACCCCTGAAGTTGTCAGGTTCATTCTGGGTTGTGGGTTCCCAAGGGTAAAGCCTCACTCTCCCTTGTTCTGCCTTCATGGCCCAGGGTTCCCCTCACCTGTCCAGCTCTTTCCAATTGAGGGGTGCCCTCTGCACAGTCACAGGTAAAGGTATGTCCTTGCCAGGGACTGGGCCAGCTCTCCGCAGGGCACAGGGCTTCTTGAGGAGGCAGCAGATGTCATCCGCCAGCTCTGAGGAAGAGACCTAGACCCTTGACATGGGTGACTCGAGCCCTCCTTTCCTCCCCAACAGCCCCTACCCTCACCCGACAGCTTTACACACTTGGCAGATTGGGGCATGGTCTAAAAAGGATTACAGCACAAGAGCCCCAAGCTGTTGGTCTGAGATGCAATCAAAAGTTATTCTGGGCTAGGTTCTGGGAGACTTAAATTTACTGTGGTTTGGGGTAAGTTGATGGACCTCTTTGGGCCCAGTTTCTGGCTAGGAAAGCACTTCGGGAAGAAAACTAAGGAATGCTCAGTATCTATCGCATGAGCAACCTCCCAGCAAACCCCTGATCAGTTTTCCCAGTTTTATTCTCCCCTCTACATCCTCCAGTGCCTGTTATTGCACAGGCACCAGAAAATGCTAAGAATCAACTTGAATTCCACAATAGCAACAGATTTGGGCCTAGTTCCTGTAGAGACAACTGTGCTTCCCACTGGGGCTTTGACTCGGAACTACCCGTGGATGAGTTACTGGCCTGCACTCACACATGGGATAAAGATAGGACTGCCTTGCCTGGCTGGTGTGGCTCAGTGGTTGAGCGTTGACCTATGAACCAGGAGGTCACGGTTCGATTCCAGGTCATGGCACATGCCCAGGTTGTGGGCTTGATTCCCAGTGTGGGGCATGCAGGAAGCAGCCGATCAATGATTCTCATTATTGATGTTTCTATCACTCTCCCTTTCTCAAATCAATAAAAATATATATTTTTAAAAAGATACAGCTGCCAGTCTGTTTCTTGGCACAAGGACTGGCATGAGGGTAGGGGAGGCCCTTCTTCCATCTGTCTGGATATTCTTTAGCAGGTAAAGTGTCTAAGGATTCTCTGACCCCTAAAACTCAAATCCCAGTCTACTCTCATGGAGGCAAGGAAAGGCCATACCAGAGTAATGGTCCACTAGGGCCTGGAGTGAAGGGAAAGTGAAGCGCGGCGAGATGTACAGCCAGCCATTGTCAAGGCGTTGGATCCTGTAGTGTCTGATCCGGTCCCAGGATGCAGGGCGGCTGAGGCGGACTGACAAGGAGTAACAGCCTAAGGAGGAAAGAGTCCAAGGTGGGAGTGAGGCCCTGCTGGGACCTGGCTCTGCCCAAGTTGGCAGGAAGAAGAGATGAGGTGGCCACAGTGGATAGCTCTGGGTCCAGGCAGAAGAAATAGGCAGAGAAGGACAAAGTCTTGTTCTCTTGGTCATAAATGACAATACATAATAGGTAGGGCTCTTGTGAAATGAGATCATGGATACAGAGCCTGGCACAGTTTAAATGAACATTAAGTGTTGGCTGTTAGAAAGACTCAAGTGGGCAGAAGAGTTAGAATGTGAAAATGTGTCTGTAGATGTCAGCAAGGACATGGAGAAAGAGGAACCTCTTACCCTGTTGGTGAAAAGATGAATTAGTACAAGCCACTTTGGAAGCAGGTGGCATTAACTAGTTGAGCTGAACATGCACCTACCTCACAATCCCAGCAGTTCCATCCCAGCATGTTACCTTAGAAATGCACAAGCAATATTCACAGCATTGTTTGGAAAATCCCCAAATTGTGAACAGCCCATAGGCACTCAGTAGAATGGTGGATTATATAATGTAAGACTGTAGAGAAGTAAAAGTTAATAACCACTACACATTTAAGCAGATAAACCTTAAAAATAATGAGCTGAAGCAGGAAGTCACAGAAGCATACCTTCAGCATGATTCTATTTACATAAAGGTCAAAGGCAGTCAAGACTATTACACAGAGATACATGTATGGCAAAGCTATGAAGAAAATAATGATTAACAGCGAAGCATGCAAGGGGCTTCTAAGGGATTGTACAATTTCTTAAGCTGGTAAGTGGGCACCTGGATGTTGGTTTTCTCATTAGTCTTTAACTTATATATGTACATTATATACATGCATGTGACAGAATTTTTCCTTTTTTTTTAGTTTTTAAAATCAACTTTATTGATGTATAATTTACATATAATAAAATGCACATGTTTAAAGTGCACAGTCTGATAGGTCTCAACAGAAATTTTAATTTAAAAAACTAAGCAAAAAAAAGCATATGGTTGAAAAATGAACACAGAAAAAAGACTATGTAAAATCATACTATGCAGATCTCCAGTAGTTTTTCATCAGATGAGGATGTATATGAGATAACTTGATAACTGTAAAGTGGGATTCATTTCTTAAATCAACACTTCATCAACCAAATGGAAAGAAGATGCTTAGTGAAATAATAATCTGTTATTACTATCATCTAATGATCTAATGCTATCTGTAGCTTTCATTTATTGCGTGTCTACTATATGCTTTATATGGATTATCTCATGTTATTCTTATAACTACCCTATGAGGTAAGTACAATTATTCCCTCTTTCCAGATGAGAAAACTGTGTCACAGACAACCTGGAAGAAGAGGCAGTAACCCTGTTACTTAATCTTTTCCTGTGGAATGCTAATAAAAGGTGGGAATGAATACCAAACAATAGGTACTATCAGTTCTAGGAAGTTCTACGAAGTGTTTATTTTGAGGAAGTATTAAATGCTCCAATTAAAAGGCAGAGATTTTCAAACTGGATTTTTAAAAAGCAAGATCCAACTGTATGATAAAAATACTTTGAATATTAAAACCCAGACTAAAAGTAAAAAAATGTATCATGCAAACATTAGTCACAGGAAAGCTAGAGTGGTAATATTGATATCAGACAAAATAGAATTTGAGATCAAGAAGATTACCAGAGATATGAGGGATATATCAAGAAGACTTAAAAATCCTGAATTTGTATGCACCCAATTGCAGAGATTCAAAATATATAAAGCAAAACTGACAGAATTAACAGAAAAAAATAGACATTCATAATTATAATAGATTTCAACATTCCTCTTTGAGTACTTAATTGGACAGAAAATCAATAGGGATATACTTGTAGAAGACTTAAACAATACAATAAACTAATTTGACTTAATTAACAGAAGACTGCACTTATCAACAATATACATTTTCTTTCAAGTTCAGATGGAATATTGAGATAGACTCTAGACTGGTCCATAAAAACAAGTTTTAAAAGATTGAAATAGCCCTAGCCAGTTTGGCTCACTGGATAGAGCGTCGGCCTGGGGACTGAAAGGTCCCAGGTTCGATTCCAGTCAAGGGCATGTACCTTGGTTGCAGGCACATCCCCAGTAGGGGGTGTGCAGGAGCAGCTGGGCGATGCTTCTCTCTCATCAATGTTTCTAACTCTCTATCCCTCTCCCTTCCTCGCTGTAAAAAATCAATAAAATATATATTTAAAAAAAAGATTGAAATAATTAAAGATATGTTTGCTGACCACAGCAGAATTAAATTATAAATTATAATAAAAAGACATCTAGACAATCCCCAAATACTTGGAAATAACCCAGGTATCAAAGAAGAAATCACAACCATAATTAGAAAATATTTTTAATTAAATAAAAACAAAAACTTGTGAGCTCAGCTAAGTCAGTACTTAAGGATACATTTCTAGTTTAAATGTTTACATTGGAAGAAAGGTATAAATAAAATAAAATAAGCTTCCACCTTAAGAAGCTATAAAAATAAGTAGAAGGAAATAAAGCAAAAATAAAATGGAAAACAATAAAATTAAAAATCAAATGTTGATTCTTTGAAAAAGATCGATAAAATTGATAAACCTCAAAATAGACTGGTCAAGAAAGAAACAAAAAGGTTCTGGCTGGGTAGCTCAGGTTGTGAGAGCATCATCCCCATACACACAGTTGCAGGTTTGATTTCTGGTCAGGGCACATACCTAGGTTGTGGGTTCTATTCCCATATGGGAGGCAACCGATCAATGTTTCTCTTTCACATCAGTGTTTCTCTCTCCTGAATCAATAAACATATCCTCAGATGAGGATTTAAAACAAATACACATCTATCAACAAGTGAATCTAAAAATCAAGTGAATAAATAATCTGATGAACAGAATAAACTGGGGTTGTGCGGGAAGAGACTGGACAAAAATCGTACACCTATGGATGAGGACAGTGGGGGTGTGGTAAGGGCAGAGGGTGGGGTGAGAACCGGGTGGAGGGGAGCTATGGGGGGAAAAAAGAGGAACAACTGTAATAATCTGAACAATAAAGATTTAATTTTTTAAAAAGATACAAAAAAATAAATAAAATAAAATAATAAAACTCTCAAAAGAAAATTTTTTTTAAAATGCCTAAGTGACCATTAAGACTGGATGATTGGATGACCGGCTGGTAGCTATGACACGCACTGACCACCAGGGGGCAGACACTCAACCTCCTGCAGTCCCTCCCACAGCCAGCCAACTTCCCAAGACAGCCCCCATCGCTGGCCAGGCTGAGGGACCCCATCCGTGCACAAATTCATGCACCGGGCCTCTAGTATTTTATAAATAAGAGCCTAAGGACCATTTGCCTGCAGGGGCTCTTCACTTACTCTGTAAACTGGGAAGAACCTCAGACTGAACTCTCAGGTTCCCACACTATGCCTGCTTATTTACGCAGGGAATAAACCACTGCAGGGAACCCCTGGTTTTGTCTTTCAACCAATGGACTGAAACCTGCCCTGTCCAATCAGAATTGCACAATTAGCCCTAGCTGGTTTGGCTCAGTGGATAGAGTGTCAGCCAAACTGAAGGATCCTGGGTTTGATTCTGATCAAGGGCATCTACCTTGATTGCAGGCTTGATCCCTGGCCGTGGTCTGGGAGTGCGTGCAGAGGCAACCAATCTCTCACATCGATGTTTTTCTCTCTGTCTCTACCTCTCCCTTTCACTCTCTCTAAAAAATCAATGGGAAAATATCCTAGGGTGAGGATTAACAATAAATAAACACACAAACAAATAAAAAGAACTACACAATTATATCTTCCTTTGCATCTATACCAACCAATAAGAACTGTCCTATACTGATTATTCAACAATCAAAACACACAGTACTAACCAATCAGAACTGCATAATTCAGACCATTCAGAACTGTATGAATCTGGAAACCTAATTTGCATAAAATTAGACCAATTGGGAACTTTCTCTATAAAAGTGGCCTCCCTTTGTCTGGGTAGAGTGCACTTTCAGTTTCCACTGGAGCCTGCATTTCTCTGGTTTGCAAACTGTTTCAACTGAATAAAGTCTCTTCTTTCCTGCACTTTTCTGGATATTTTTGATGACATTGGGAATATAGCAAAAATGTTCTCACCACTTCATTCATACTAGAGGTCCTACTCAGTAATATAAGGCAAGAAAAAGAAATAAAAGACATATGGATTGGAAAATAAATTGTATTTATAGACATGGTGATCATATATATACAAAATCATAAGGAATCTACAAAAAAGCTACTAGAACTAATAAGTGAATTTAGCAAGGATACAGGATACAAAGAGAAGTGTGGAGTAGGATCCCTGCTTCCTTTTCTTTGTTCTCTACATGAATCTAAAAGCTCTTTCACCTCTGTATTTTTAAGAATAGTCTCTTCTGGAGCTATGCTGTGACCCTGAAAAAACCCTGTATTTGGAAAAGGCTAAATATCTGAAAATAGGTTCCAGAGGCCAACCAACCCACATAAACTAAACGACCAAGTCCCTACATCCTCTGCATGGTTCTTCAGCAGCTCCACTCTGACCACTATCACCACAGTTACTAGAACCAGAAAGGTATAATAAGCTCTGTCAAACCCATGTGAGGCTTTCAACACCACTGTGGGGACAGGTCACCTACCAAAGTCATCTGTAAGTGGCCTATGTGCCTGTTACCCACTGTTCCTTTCCACTCATGTTTCAGCAAGTCCCAAATGCCTACTGCTCTCTCCCAGTCCCAGGACATCTCCTTTTTAACTCAGACTCCTGGGTTTAAATTGCACACACTTTACAGCACATTATATGATCTCTCAGATCTGTTTCTTCATCTGTAAAGAGTGATGATAATTGTCCCAGTCTGACCAGATCACCACGAGGATGCAGGTGATGAAGCAGGTAAAGCATTTAGCATGTCTGGCATGTAGCAAACACCCAATAACCCTTATAGGCCGCTGGCCCTTTGCTTACACTGTTCCTTCTATATGTAACACTCTTCCACCTGAGTAACCCCATCCTTCCCTTTACAACTCAGCTCTGCTCAGACAACTCCTCCAGAAGGCCTCTGCCTAAGAGAAGCCCCAGCTCTAGGCCTGCCCAGGCACAAGTGCTTTGTGGCACCAAGCGTCCTGCTCTGCCATCATCTGTCTCTCAACCCTACCCCTCACCTGCCCCAAAACACATAACCAACTGTGAGCCTCCCAAGGGGTGGTCTGACCATCTTCCCATCTCAGAAAACAGCAGCATTATTTACCCATTACTAAGCTACTAACCCTGGAGTCATCCTTGACTGCTGCCATTCTCTCAACCTCACATCCAGCCCGACAGAAAACCCTAATGGCTACACTGAGAACACATCCAGAATCTGACCACTCCTCACCCAGATGGAGCCTGCCGTGGCTTCCCATTTCTACCTTACCCCCTGCCAAACCCTCTCTTCATAGCAGTTGAGGGATCAGGTCATGTCACTCCCCTACTCAGAACCCTCCCTGTCACACTTAAAGCCAAAGTCCTCACCCTGGGAACGCTCCAGAAGGCTTAGCCAATGCCACACCCTGGCCTGCAGAGACCTCTGGGGTCAAGCACCATGTTCTCCCAGGTGTTCTGATGACAATGCCAGGAGTGGGGAGGGTGGGGGGTGGAGGGGGGTTCTCAGTGGTGAGAGGGGTCGGATTAGGAGATGTGTGTGGGAGGTAGACCTAGCAGGATCCTCCTGAACTTCCTCTGCTGAGGTCTCTGAGAAGTTGATAGCCTTGAGGAGGATGCTGAACCTTGGACCCTCCACTGTCTGAGCCTGGGGGCAGGAACCATGAGTTAACAGCCCTGACTCCCAGGAGATGCCAACTGACAGAATGGACAGAGGTGAGCCCCTCAGAATGGACAGAGGTGAGCCCCTCAGGAAGCATGTCTTGCTAATCAATCACCTTTACAGTGTCCAACACAGAACAGACACATAGTAGGACAGCAGGAAGACAAGGGGGTGATACTGTTGGGCCTGGCCCTGACTTCTGGAACAGTCCTGTGACCTCCACAAAGTCTTCAGTGCTCCTTCACAGACCAAAGTTTTGGGCCTGACTTGGGCCCTGCCATGGCTCACCCCTGGCTTAGAACACAATCAAGTATGCCAGAGGGACTCTAGAGAAAGGAAGGGGGCTTTCTCCCTCCCCCTACAGACTGTGAGTAGGGTTCTTGGAAGCTCACAGGCCTTCCTCCTCTGTCCACACACAGGCTCAGAGCCCCTGCAGAATTGCCTTCCCAGAGGTACATCTAGACCTTGAGCCAAAGAAAAGCTGGTCCTGATATTACTCGGTCAACAGTTAACTACCATTATATATGACAAGATGCAACATGTAAACATAAAACACACAGTCTCTTATTAAATCTGGGTTCCCTAGATTTTAAGTGTGTTTTCAAACTTAAAAGAACATAAGAAGCATGGGGGAGAGGGGGTTGTGAAGGGAGCAGATTTCTGACCTTGGAGCCCAATAGTCCGATTCGGTAGGTCTGAGGTGGGGCTCAAGGGTCTGCACTGTCAAACAGCTCCCGATAGTTCCTGTTCACTCAAGTCTGAGAAGCACTGCTCTAGGATGTCACTCGGGCCCCAAAGCTGCGGTGTCAAACATTTTTTTACCACAAACCACAGTATGAAATTTTACACTATGACCCAGGACACAAACAAAAGTTTGATGAAGCAATATTTTCCCCAACCCCAGTGATATACTCTTAAGTTTTCTGCTGTATTTCATTTCTCTCACTGGTCCAGATCCACTACATACCAGTGAATTACAGGGCCCTGGGTTTTGACCCTGGCTGCACATCATAATCACCTGGGGGCAAAGCAATAAATAAAAAAGACATGTATCCATATGTTCATTGCAGCATTATTTACAATAGCCAAGATATTCACGCAACCTAAGTGCCCACGAATAGATGAGTGGATAAAGAAGAAGTGGTGCATATATACAATGAAATAAGACTCGGCCATAAAAATTTAAAAGAGAATGAAATCTTGCCACTTGCAACAACATGGATAGACCTAGAGGATATTGTGCTGAGAGAAATAAGTCAGATAAAGACAAATGCAATATGTGGAATCCAAAAAACATTATACAAACAGCAGACCAGAAGGGGAAAAAATCACCTGGAGAGCTTTTACAGATTCCAGGGCCCAGGCCATACCCTTGACCAATTAAGTCAGAAACTCTGGGGGCGGGTGCAGGCATCAGCAGTTTATAAAGTTCCCCCCAATGATTTCAAAGTGCAACCAAGGTCCAGATCAGCGGTTTTTAAAGTGTGGTCCCCAGCCCAGCAGCAGCAGCCTCATCACCTGTTGGAGAGGCGAAGTCTCAGGCCTTGCCCCAGACCGTCTGCATCAGCGCTGGGTGTGGGGGCCACTTTTTTGTTCTAATAAGCCCACCAGGTGACTCTGAGGCCCACACAATTTGAGACCCTCTGGTCAATAACAACGGAACTAAAACGATTTCTTGGCCTACAAGACTCATGGTTTCCAGTTTGACAAACTGTCCAAAAGGAAGCCCCAGATGAGGGATTACAAGGTAATACAAGAGAAACCTTTGCCTTTCTTGCAGAATTGGCAAGTCTCTTCCTTTTCTGATACTGAGAGCTGCATTCTGATCTACTCCCGTGGTGTTGGCTGTGGGGACGCTCCGAGTCCAATCTAACCTTCACCCCAGTAACCATGTGGATCCTTATCTGCTTTCTCCTGTCCTAGTATTTCTCAGATACTTCCCTTGTATATGTGCCTTCTTAGGAAAGGGGTAGAGTGACCATAAGGGCTGGTCAGTATGCTCTTGGTGTTGAACCAGGCCAGAGAAGGGGGGGGGCGGGTCAGGAGCTGAGCACAAAGCACTTCCTGTGGCTTTCAGTGCTCACTGGGGCCCTGGCTACAAGCCCCTGACCCAAGTCAACACCATCGCTGTGGTTTCCTGTTTGCAGCTGCTGCACTCGGACCCAGCCCCCATCCCAGCAAACTATATGTGTGTGTGAGGGTGGAATACTCATGCTGCCTGGAAAATAGCCAGAGGGGCTGGGGAGAGGTCAAATCAGGGAGCTCCCCGAGAAAGGGGAGGAGAGGCAAGGATTCGCTGGAGGGGCTCCCCCAGGAGGGAGACTGAGTAAATAACAAAGAACCCTGACAGCCCATCATAGCTGTTTCAAATTAGGGCGAGGACTGGAGGCTGGTCCTCACTTGTGAATATCTCCTCCCTACCCCACCACTGTGCTTGTAGTTCTACCATTATTGTCACATGTGGGCCTTTCCTGGGTGTCTAAAGTGAGGTAAACTCTGGCTGGGTTTGAATCCCAGCTCTGCACTTCTTAGCTGTCTCCCCAGGCAAATCGTTTCTCTTCTCTAAGCCTTAGTTTCCTCTCTGTAAAATGGGTACAACGGAAGAACAACCCCACAGGATTGTTTGAGGGCACTGAAAGGGCCTAAACACAAACGTGGCTGCTGCCACTCCTTCAACGTCCCTCTCTGCCTCTGCCGTAAGGGACTCAGGTCAGCAGCTCAGAGGGAGGAAGGGGCATCAGAGATAGACTCCATCAACTTCATGTTTTGTTTGCAAAGGCCCTGTACCTGAGGTGGGAGAAGTCTCCTATGAATGTGCAATGTGACATGTCCCTGTGCCTCCTTAGGCCTCTTTCCCCATCTGAACAGCAGAGAAAGGAAGGTCATGAGATGGCTTCCACTGGGTTTTCTGGCTCTGACTGGCTGGTGCCCCAAAGCACGGAGACTTTGTTAACTTGTCAACATTTTGCTAAGAGATAGGATCATGTCTGGTGTCTTGGGGAGGGACAAATCATTGCTGGTCAGGGAAGGATATTTTGTTGGATTCCCTACTGAGGGCCATTTACATCCTGTTAGAAATGCAGGTTAGTTCTCAACTGCTAATGGGTTCTCACTGCAGCAATATGGCAGCCAGTTAGCCAGACTGCCTGACTCCAGCCCTTTGCACTTCACCTCTGACCTCTGTCCCCAAGTCAAGCCCCAATAGGGCTTACCCACCTCTCCTGGTCTGGCTCTCCCGAATGAGGAAGGCCCCTCCAGGGTTTCCAGGCAGCAACAGCAATTCCTCAGCTTTCTCCCTGCTCAGGCCCTCATACAGCCACCTGGGGAAGAAGCAGACGGGGGTCAGCCTAGGGGTGGTGGCCCCCCAGCTTTGTCCTCCTGGTCCTGGCTCCAGGGTCTCTGAGGACACCCTCATGGGGTCAGCCCCAGCCTTTTCTGCCTGGAGATCTCATTCCCAAGAACCCAGGGAGCTGGGAGCAAGTTGGGAGATCCTGGCCTCTCTTCTACCACTGCCCAGTCTCCTACCATCACTATGCTACTCACCTTTCCAAGAATTGTTCGTTGTATTTTGTTTTAAAATTTTAGTAAGTATTTTATTTGGGCATTTTAAAGATTAACTTTGTAGCCCAAGGTATGCAGGCGAACCTTTTTTCATTATCACAGAAATACAACTCACAACGAAGCTGTTTTGTGGACAGACAACCTGGAACTCAAATGTTCAAGACGCCTAAAATTTTGGAAAATATCATGCAGCCCACTGGTCACCATATGTGCCTCTCAAAGCTCAACCCTTCTACCACCCTGCTCCCTGACGCCTCTTTCCATGCTGGGATTTTGATTACTCTGAGCCCATATTTTTCTTCCTCTTTCCCTTAATCCCTCACCTATATATCTATGTGGACTTAACTGTAATGGGAAGTTCAGGGTGGTTCTGCAGGAATTTTTCTGGTCCTAAGTCATCAGCCTCCTAAGTCATGCCCTGTGACCCCAGACAAAGCCTACAGAAGCTGATTCGATGGAAATGCTGTCTCTGTGTCATTTTGTGAAATTCCACAGTCAAAGCCAGAGTCAGGGTTGAGATGATTCCAAGTAAATAGATTAGAGAAGCTGTGTCTCACTTGGTGCCAGCAGCAAACTTAGACTCGTTTTATACTAAATAAAACAAGTCATTCTTGTTGACTTATAAAAATTGTCATGTCGTATGAAAACTGAGGATGTAAATGAAAGAGTGGCAAGGGAAGGGCACTTCTAGAGAGAGTCAGTGTCCCTTAGCTTAAACTTAGTGCCATGCTGTGGATGTAAAACCTCCAACCAGTAGGCCCAGACATCAGAACACACATGGCAAGGTGGGTTCCCCTGGCTGGCCGACAACTCTGAGAGCTGATCCCATGAGGTGTCCACACGTCCCAGGATCCCTGTGTTACTCTCATCAGAGCCAGACACACCGTGAGCCCCAGAACAGGAAGGCCCTGCAGTGCTGCAGCCCTACTTTCTCTCAGAGCTGCAGAGGGGAGGTCACAGCTTGCACTTGCGCAGGGACACGTTCCTGACCCGGTGTTGTTCAGGCAGGTCCCACCGAAAGGCACTGCCCTTCCTCTCTCCCCAGGCACGGGATTGGCTCTGGAGTCAGTTCCTTTTGTCACTGGCTTTTGGCAGAGAGCTGGCAGTGCTCTGTAGAGACCCTGTGTCCCAGGTCTGGCCCTCCCTCAGAAGCCCTTGTTTTCTTGCCTCAGGACATTTATTCAGGCTGCTCCATCTCCTGCAAGTCCCCTTTAGCATTCTCTACTGGCACCACCACAATGCCTGCAAACCACCTCCTCTGGGCTCCCAAGTCCTGCAGGCCTGTCTGCTCCTGAGGGCAGAGTCTGGGCCCGATTCTCCCCTGTCCCCAGCTTTGCTCAGCACAGGACTGGACATCAAGGACTATGCTTGTGGGAAGTGAAAGCAGGAAGGTCCCCTAAAGCAGGGCCTGGAGTGGAAACTCACCCATGGGAGATTTTGGCCACATGGATGCTAGGAACGCTGTACTCTCTGCCTGAGCCCTCTGACAGCACCGTCCACCAGTCTCCGTCTCTGCAGAGAGAAAGGAGGGAGACCCTCTCAGAAGGCCCTTGGAACTGCTCATTTGAGATTTATGAGGCCCTACCAGGTTGGATCCCACCTGAGTTTCCCAGGTTTCCTTGCACCAACTAACCCAGGTACCCCCTGGGCAGTAAATGGCATGATGCAGGACCCCTGTATGGCCTGCCCACCCACTGCTTCTCCCTGTAGGTGTGTCATGCTGCCTGAAATCCCAACATCAGGGCCACATGGGAGCTTGGCACCAAAGGCCATGCTCTTTTCTCCTGGAGGGAGTGGCCCTTCCTCCCATCAGTGAATCTTCAGGTATCAGGAGAGGGAGCAGATCACCCCACACAATGCCCTTGGAACGACTTACTCAGAGATGATGGTCAGTGGCTCCCCCAGTCTCAGTGACAGCTCTGCCTGCTCTCCCACCGGGAAACTGCCCAGGGCCACGGCTGTGGCCTTTCTCCTTTCTGGATGGAGGGACAGAGATGGTCAGCCTCTTGGCCAGCCTGGTCTCCAGATGTGAGGTCTAGGAGTCTGGGATCCCACCATCAACCCTCACACAGGCACCCTGGGCTGGTTCCTATGTGTCTTCTTAGACACACGTGGAGATCCCTGTGGTGACCCCCAGATAGGAGCTCCTCTGAGCCTGGGTGTTCTCGTTCTCTGAACTGTCTGCAGCACAGGACCTGGACATCCCAGGTGCAAGGAAATCGATGCCTGAATAAACAATGCAAGCAAGTCTTGTGGAGGGCATCCTACAATAAGGGTCAAACCAGGTTTCCGGGAAGGGTCCCTCCCCCTCCTGGAAGCCCTGGCCATGCACCTCTAGGAACTGCTAAGCTGCATATGTTTTCTCCTCGATTGCCCCCCTCCACCTGGCTGACTCACCTGCATCCTTCACTCTCCGCATGAGATGTCCCTTCCTTAGGGAAGCCTTCCCTGACAAACCTCTTAGCAGACACTCTTGGTCAGAGTCTCTTAAATCACATTGTTGCCAAAATCTAACACAACTATAACTGATCATTGGCTAAACACCCATCTCTGGGACCCTGTCTCTGAAGGCAGGGACTGTGGTCTTGTCTACTACTGTGAACCCTGATTGTGCGTGCACAAGGCCTGGCACAAAAGCCTTAGACTTTGGATGGATGTAAGGCTGATGCACAGATAACTCATGGAACGGGTTGCCCAAAAGCCATGTTTCTGCTGTGACCAGAACTAGACCTACAGAGAGAGGCCTGTCCTTTTCCAGGAGACCCTGGCAGAGGAGGGAACACAGCCCCCGAAGGCAGGACACCTGCATGGGGGCTGGGAGATTCACACACACACCCCCCGCCCCA